CAAGAGGCGGCACAGGCGGCGCTGTTGTACCACCGAGGCGTGACGAACACCGGCGCGGTGGCGACGCACGCACCGCGGAGTATCGCCGATGTGATGCCGAGAGGAGAGCAGCACAAAAGTAAAGAAGAGTGCCAACAGCGAGGGGCAGGTGGGAGCACAGGCGCCGCACGAGGCGCAACCACTACGATGCGGGGCGACGAACGCTCCTCTCCACGTTCGTCGTGGATTGCGGGGGAGGCGTCTCGTGAGGCAGCGGCGCGAGGGGTGGCCATGGAGCCGCTGCCGGTGATGCTGCGGACCCGCGACGAGGCGGTGGAGGTGACGCTGGCGCCGCGGGGCCTGCAGCGGGACCAGGAAGAACTGCAAGAGATGCGCTCACGCTACATGAGGGACCGCCCTCCGAGACTCCAACAGTGGAGGTTGCTGCAGGACGAGAAGGAGCTGCTGCAACCGGCAGCGCGCTCGTCGTGCGTGTCACCGTTGGCTGGCAATGGTTGCGAAAACAATGACCAACGCAACGTGCCGCTCACTGTCTTGCGGCCGTCACGTCGCGACATGCCCTCACGCCTTGCAGATGCCTCTGAAGAGTTGTACGTCACGATGCTGCCTCGTCGAAGGGCGTTTTCTGCGCAAGGAGGATAGCGACAGGGTTCGTAATAGAGTTGCGTAGCCGGATTTGTGTTTCTCTTTGTGGCATATATGATTTCTGCATTGCCTGGGGGTGTGATGCACCCAACTGGGTAGAGCGCAGCCCCTGTTCGTCCTGTACGCCCAGTTCCTCGCAGCATTTTCCGCCCTCACTCCCCATTTTCTATCAATGAGTGTCTCTGCGCCAGTCGGCAGAAGGGTGAGAAGGAAGAAGGGAGTGAGAGGAAGAAGAAGAAGGTTTGTATTTCATTTAGCGAATATCTGCCACACAAAAAGACGGGAAACATGCGCTACCATCTCCACATCGCGGATGGGGGTGATCCGTCCAGCACTGTCACTGCTGCGACGCTGTTCGCCCATCTCACGCTGCGCTGCGGCCACCTGCGCAGCTACCTGCTCCTCAGCGCCAGCACCACCGACGCGAAGCGAAACCGCGAGGCAACGCTACAGCAGCACAACGCCGCACGAGTGGTGCAACTAGCCGCCTCCGCTGCTGCGGTGCCGTCATCGAGCGGGAGCACCGACGATCAGGTGTTGCTAGCCGCAGAGGCGCTGCTGCGCGGAGAGAAGCAACTCCGCGCGCCTCTCGGCGACGAGACGGTGTGGGGCGGCTCCATCGCCGCCGTGAAGGACCGCATCCTCCCGTACCACTGGTTCGGCTGCAACTTTGCTGAGTCGGAAGCCCACCTCGCGAGATCATGCGGACGCTACTTTGACTTCATCGCCACTGCTGATGTTGCGAGCTTCGACTACCTCCTTGACTTCTACCTCGCGCTGCGTGCGGGGGAGGCGGATGGGAACATCACCGACAGTGCAGTGCCGCGGCGCCGGCGGAAGGTGGGCCTCGTCCATATTCTTTGCGGAGAGCCTGCGCGCGCTGGGCACCTGCTGCAGCGTTTTTTAGAGCTTCTGCTGGAGGTGGATAGCAAGGCACCCGAGCTGGCCGAGGAGGACGCGGTGGGTGAAGATGAGGGTTTTATGTGGATTAATCGCGCTGATGGAGTTGTTGCGCAGCTGTATCAATTGTTAGGTGTCAACGTCCTTTTCGCAGTGGTATGACACGCTGCTTGTGTTTTTTTAATGACGGTTAAGTCAACCGCAGAGGAAACAAACAAATACCTAATGAGGTTATGTGCCCGAGATGAAAGGCGGTTTTGGGCGGCTTGGTGTTTCTATCTCCAAGGGACAATAGGGGTATCCTTGCATGATTCCTGTGTGTGCTTTTAATCCTTGCTTTTTCTTTTGTGTGTGTGTGTTTTGTTGTTGTTGTTGTTCTTCCCCCCTCGTTTGAAGGGCGTTAAGGTGGGTGCCGCCGCAGGGTCCCTGGGGGAGGCGCATACGCAGGCGCAGAAGAGGGAGGGAGGGAGGGAGAGAGAGATAAAGCAACAGTTATGATCACCCACTCCCGCTGTCTGCGGCATCTCAGCATTGGACAGGCGTGTCGCATTATGGGCTTTGCGGCGCCGCCGCTTGACAAGCGGATTCTCAAGAAGCGTTATGTCGAGTTGGCAAAGAAGCACCACCCGGATCAGAGCGGGCCGGAGGCTTCTGTGGACCGCATGGCGAGTGTGACGGAGGCGTACAAGACTCTGCAGCACTTATTAGAAGACGGAAGACGTGGAGTCTCCTCGTTCAACTCGCGGCGAAGCCATACCAGTGGCGGCGGCGGCGGCAGCAGCAGTGATGGTGGTGGTAATAGTAGGGATGACATGAGGGCCGAAGCCGCGTCGTTCGTTGCCCCTGGGGCCACGCTCAGCATGGCGGGATGGACGTTGCCTTGGCAGCGCGGCCCCACCACGTCGGCACGACGAGAGAAGGAGCGGCACCTGCGCGAAGAGGCCACTTCGCTCTACAACTATGTGAAGCAGGTTAGGGCGCTGGAGCGGGAGGATGCGGCGCGTGAGGCGCGTCTAAAGGCGGAGATGAAGTCGTCGGAGGGATCGCACGGCTTCACCGCGGAGCATTTCGAGGAAACACGTCGGATGCAGCAGCGCGACGTGCCGTGGCGGGCGCAGCGGGAGTCACTGCTCCGTCTCTGGTGGAGGTATCACCGGCAACGCCTCTCCAAGGCGCCGCGGCGCTGGTGGAACGCAGCTCGGTATGTGCTGCTTGGACATTAGGCGAGCCTGCCGTGCGTTTTGCACACAGACTTTTGAGATGTGTGTCGCTGGCAAATGCATGTGTGTATACACTTGCTTTGTCCTTCTCTCTACGCATACGCATTCTTTGTTGTGTGTGTTTTGAGGGGCATCAGCTGCTCTCTGTTGTTGTTGCTGTTTTTTTTTTTTGTTTTCTGTCCTCAAAATTAACGAGGTGCCCTTTTTTTTTTCTTCTTGTCTATTCATTCATCTCCGTCCCGCGGTAGCTGTTAGGAGGAACATATATATATATATATACATATATATATAGCGCCTGCAAAGCATTTGCGCCACGAGACGAATACTCTGAGTGCGTGTGCGTGGAGTAGCGGGAGCGGCAACAACAGCAACAGCAACAGGAGGAAAGGGAAAGGAGATGTCTGCGTCAACAGCAGAGGTGGAAAGGCCAGCACCGCGTGAGGGGATGCCGCGCGAGGTGGTGGCGTGGCTGCGCAGTCTGCACCTCCCACGTGCGGTGCGGAACCCAAAGCGCGACTTGTCCAACGGTTTTCTCGTCGCCTTCATCTGCTCGCGCTACTGGAGCAGCGTCAGCATGCACTCCTACGAAGACAAACTGAGCGTGGCAAATAAACGTAGCAACTGGGACATGCTGCGCAAGCAGTTCGCAATAAACAAGTGTCCGGTGAGCGATCGCATGATCGAGGGACTGATAGCGTGCCGTGACGACTACGCCAACTCCTTCCTGCGGCAGCTGTACACACACCTGACGGGCCGCGTCGTTGTCGAAGCGCTACCGCTGCCTGCGGAGGAAGTGGCACCGCCCCAGACGTTTGTGCCACAACCGTCGGTGCAGTCACTGCCAACAATCAGCGTGGAGGCGGTTGGCTCCTGCTCTAACAATGCAAGCCCCGCGGCGGCGCGTGTGCGGGAGCTGCCGGCGTGTAGCATCGCTGCGCTGAAGGTGTCTGAGCGCATCCCACCCGTTGCAGTAGCGAATAATCACGTCATTCGCGCCATTGTGAGTGACGACGCGAGCGTTGCGGCGTCTGGAAACGGTGAGAACGGCACCAATGAATCTTGCGAAGGCCGTGACGGCAACGAAAACGCCAAGCCACCGATGGGATTCTCCGTCTCACTGCGCCGCGCAGATGTGCGGCAAACTGTGGTGCATGAAACAGCCAGGGATGACAAAAAGAAGCCGCTACAGCAGCAGCAGCAGCAACAACAGCAGCAACGGCAACCACAGTTTGGTGAGGCGCATCTCATGCCAGATGACGCGACAGCAATGGATCTCATCGAATCCATTGTACGCGCCCAGGCAGCTGGGCAGGAATGGAAGTGCGCTCGTGACGGGCCCACTGCCTTCACGGAGTATTTCCTTCACGAAGAGGCAGCACTCAGCGTGCTGCTTCAATGCCGTGTGTGGAGTGCACTTTTCACCAGTGTTGACGAGCTGGTGGAGCGAGTCTTTCGTCAAGGCGGTTCTCTCGCGAAGATCACCGCGCTCTTTTTGCAGAGCCCACCATCGCCCCCAAAGCAACAGGGGCAACAGGAGCGGGTGCCGTCGAGCGGTGGGACTGCAAGTGAGTCATGGAAGGAGCGGTCACAATACGAGGGCCACGCAATGGGGAAGCGCTACACTTTTGTCGCGTCTCTGCTCGCGAGTATATCCGATAGCGATGCTTTCCTTGCCGTCTCTGTGTATAGCGAGGATGTACTGCCGTACGCCAAAGAGGCGATGCGTTCGCTCGACTGTGCCACCGCCGATGGCTACGCCGCGCTGCTCTGTGCAGCGGTACCAGCAAACCGCAAGTTGGCGGCGCGGCTGTTGCCTAACGTGCTCTCTGCCGCGTACGAGGCAATAACTCAGTCAAGCAGCGTGGAAGCAAAGCGCAGTTTCTACCTGCTCCTGCGCGCTGTGCTGCTGCGCCTCGCTCGCGGTGTGTGGCGCGGCTCTGTGTCCGCATCGTCGCGGCGCTCAGTGCCTGAAATGGCCACATCGTCGCTGGGCGGCCATGACCCACTTGCCGTTTCCATTTTCCCCATTGCCGGGTACAACGTCGTGGCCGCCCTCTCACACGAGTCGCCAAGAGTGCGTCTTGTCGGCGCCCACCTTGCGGGGGCACTCGCGTCCTCTGAATGCCCACTATCAATGCTGTTCGGCACAGTCCTGCCGATGCTGAACGCGTGTTGCGCGAACGCCTCACCGCTGTTCAACTGCGTGTGTGCCGCGTGGCTGCAGACCGCCATGAAACGACTCAGACCTCACCAGAGCGAGAAGTCATTAAGAACACCAGTAGCAGCAGCAGCAGCAGCAGCAGATAGGCAAGCGAGCACCGAGAGGGAGGAAGAGGAGAAAGAAGAGGCAGAGCTGCGCGTGCGAGCGCTGCCGCAGTTGGCGACCATGATGCGTCATTTGTGTGGCATCCTGCTTGGGCCCGGGGCACTGAATGTGCAGTCGTACATCGCTGAGCAGCTGGCGCTGTGCCTCGATGACATCCCCACCGACGATGATGACGCGCGGCAGCTGTTTCACCCTGAAGAGGTCGCGGCATGTGTTTTTTGTATCTTCCAGGCCGCCCCACCGGAGCTTCTCACGACGTTTCTGTCGCCGCCGTCATCGGCAGAGGCGGAATCACATCAGCAGACGAATCGCATGGCGCGGTGCGTGTCGACACAGGTTGGCAGCGCGCTGTTGGGGCCGCTGCGAATCAACGGCGCCCTGCGTGACTGCTACCCGCTTGCACTCGCAGAGGCCATCGTTGCGGTGTCGCCACCGGAGAGCAACCTGTCGTCGCCGCCAGTAGGCGAGCGGGGTGGCAGCGGTGGCGGCCGTGCCAGCAGCGTTGCCAGCGTGGGCGGAGTGCAGGCGTTGACGCCGCGTCAGGTCATGGCGAGGGCAACAGCGCTGCTGCGGGATCGTGCCGTGCCGGAGGAAACGGCTCGCCGCATCAGGTGGTTGTACCGAATTATTGTCGCCAGTAGGAGAGGCGCTGAAGTTGCGGGGAGACCCGCCTCACTTACTGAGGCCGCGGTCACGCAGCGGTGGAATGCCGTTATGCGTCAGATGTACCGTGACATTGCTGTGCTGGCCGCCGCGGCTGAGATGATCTTCTCGCAGAAGGGCGCATTAGCCGACGGCGCGTCGAACGCCATTGCGCAGATGGCGGGCATGGCGCAGCAGGTGGTGTTGTGGTGGTACACCGAGCTGCACAAGGATGATATGTCGCTGCCGAAGTCAAGTGACTGCGCTCTTGACTCGGCGGAGCGGCTGGCAGGGGCAATGCGGTGGTACCACAACACCTTTGGCGATGCCACAACGCGGGGCCAATCGCCACCAACACAACCACCACAGCAGCAACAGCGGCATTCCTTGGCGTCTAAGCGTAGCATGCACCGAGGGACGTCTTAGATCGTGTGGGGAGGCGAAAAAGGAAACAACAAGAAAAGAATCCTTATGTGTGTTTGTTGTGTGTATGTGCGTGTGACGCTCATCAACCGCGCACTGTCGTGGTAAAGGGAGCGGGGTGCGCGTCCCTGTCATCTGCAGATAGATGTAAACAAATTGGGCATGCAGTAAAACAAGCACAAAGCAAAAGGGCGGGGGGAGGGGGGCGGTGCCACCACCGGAGAAAAAAAAAAAGGGGGAAAAAAAGGACCCCACCGGTTCTTCCCTTCTCCCCTGCGTTTGTCCCTGCAGCTGTGGCTCCGAACTCTTCGCACTTTCTTTTTTCTCTTCCTGGTATTGTTCTTGATATTATTGTTTTCGCTTGTAATGTTTGCTCGTTGCATGAGAGGAGCGCCCCGCCACATAGTCAATGGGACTCAAGAAGAAAGCGCCACCGAAGAAGGCGGCAGCCAAGAAGGCCTTTGCAGAGGCGGCAGCTGACGCTGCGAAGACAGCTGTTGAGACAGTCACCGTGCGGGCCGAAGGCAAGACACCACGCCGCCATGTGAGCTTCACCGGTGTCGACACAGTGAAGAAGTCATCGCAGGGTGAATCCAAATCGACAGCAGCTGCAGCTGCCGCAAGGCGCGCGGCGACGAGCGGCATCATCGAGGCGAAGAAGCGACGCCGCGACGAGGAGATGGAGGAGGCGGCGGCAGAAGCAGCAGCAAAGGATGAGGAGGACGATGACGAGGAGGTGGAGTCGGAAATCCTCGATAGCGGCAGCGAAGACGACCTGAGCGATTTGGCCGACGCCGATGACGCGAGCGAGGCGAGTGATGAGGCCGGCTGGGAGAATCCCTTCGAGAAGGCAAAGCGTGACGGCACGCGACTCGCGTACGAGGCGCTTCGCCTCCGCTTCCTCCCGCCGGAGTTCCAGGAGCCGCAGCTCTTCAAGTTCCTCTCGCAGTTCGGCGCCACGGTGCTGAACTGCTTCTGCGTGCGCAGCCGGCGGACGCACCAGTCGAAGGGCGTCGCGTACGTGCAGTTCGACAACGACGCGGTGCTGCCGGTCGTTGTGGAGGAGTGCCACGGCATGTCGCTCGGCGGCCGGGCGGTGCAGGCGCACCGCGTCACGCTGCACCGCCCCATGCCCACGAAGGAGAAGGTCACCCGCCGCCGCCAGCTCGCCTACGCGTATAAGACACGTGGCGCACCACTGCGGCGGCACGATGTGCGCAAGAAGAGCCCCATCGCGATGCTCATCAAGTGCGCNCGGGGGGAGAAGGCCAACAATGAGCACCTGAAGCGTCTCGGCATTGACTACGCGTCCAGCGGCTTCGCAGAGCAGCTGGCGAAGGTTCCTAAGCACCTCATCGTCCACAAGAAGAAAAAGAGCAAGAAGAGCGGCGATCATGGCGAGGGTGGAAATGGCGCTGACAAGAAGAATGGTGTGCAGTCCACTGTCGTCTCGTCGTCATTGCCATCTGCTGCTGCTGCTGCCACGGGAAAAGCGAAACAACAAAAAGTGGGAAAAAAGCCGACTGGTGGTAGTGGTGTGAAGACTGCTGTCGCTACTGCTCCTGCTGCTGCTTCTGCTGCACCGCGTGCGGTGGCGAATAAGCAAAAAGCGGTGACACCTGCTGCTAAGAAGAGCCGCACAGCATCTAAACGGAGCTAAGCGGGAAGGCTGCAACAGACTTCCAGAGAAAGAGAGAGAGAGCAGGGAGGAGCAGCCGGCACGAATATGGCAAGATCGCGTCAGACTAAAACCACTCACACACAGCGTGATAACGTGTAAGAGAATGTGGCTATCCACGCAACGATAAAAGTACAAAACAAGTGGAGCCTACTTCACCGGCATACATGATGCTATGTGGTAAGCATTCCGCTACCTGAGCCACACTCTATCGTCCCCCCCCCCC